ACAATAAAAATTCATTATCTAATAAAAATTTTATTGCTTCATTAGAAAATGTTTGTATATCAGACTGTTCATTGAAGCTTAACAAAGTACAATTAATATACAGCTCTAAATCTTTGTTCGTATATAAAACTTCACTAGCTATCGCTTCTAAAAGCGCCCTTATTAATAACGTGGAATCATTGAGACAAGATTCAATTGGATCCAAAACTGCAGAGAGTAATGACGCAGCTGCATTATGTTCGTTCGGTTTACATATTAATATACTTTCTCCTAGACATATAAAAATTTCGTTATTATATATTGTATAATATTTATAATACACAAACATATCATAGAAAGATATCAAATAATATAATCTAAATTTAGATCAATAAGAATAAATCTAATTAAATAAGAGAAATTCCTATATTTTTTTTAGTCAAACGGATCTTAGATATTGAAAGATATCTCTCAATGTGATACAATCAAGATGATGACTACATTATGTTGTATATTTATCATACATTTCAATATTTTTTACCTGCACTATCTTTTCCCATGCGACCAGCACGTCCTATCATTTGTTTGTAAGTTAAAGTATTTAACGGACTGCCACCAAATAAAGGTGATCTTATTATTACTCTTCGTGCGGGTAAGTTTACTCCACTACTTAATGTCGATGTTGCTATAAGAACTCTCAAGGATCCCGTTCTAAAATAATACTATTAAGTTTAAAAACACACAAGAGGTAAAAGAAAGCTAAATAAATATCACCTGATAATTATCACCTGAAGGATCCTTCTATGATATCACGCTCATCCATTGTGAGTCCAGCATGATGAAACGCAGTGCCGAACGAAATCGTGTTCTTTAAAACATTGTCTAAACCACTTGGACTGCGTTTTAATTGTTCCAAAGTTTCTTGAATTAATGTGGAATCTATTTCCCTTTTTAACATTTCACCAAGTTCTGTATCTCCACAGCCTTACAACAGATTGAGATAAATTTAAAAAATAAAGATCTTTTTTAATTGCATCTTATACATATTTATTGTGTTTAAAACAATTATATTACTACAGTTTGTAATAAAAAGAATGAAAAATAAAATCATAGAAAAATATAGGGAAGTGCCAGTAAGAAATCTATAGTTATTCAAATTTAATCTGAAGATAATTGTAGCAGACCTAACTTGAAGAAAGCTGTAGCAATTTGCTCTGCTAATTTCTCACACCATTTTTTCGTGGGACAGAAAATCAACACACTATGACCGGCACTTATTGTCTCAATGCAAAGCTGTAGAATATTATCTACATCTGTTCTTAATTCCTGTAACTCTGTTAATTTTCTGACAAGATTCAATTTGTTGTCATATATATTTTCTCCTATCTATAAGTATAAATTATCTTGAATAACAATATCAAATCTCTCTAGAATATTTGAAGCAAAATACAACCAGATCTAAAAAATATAAAAATACAAAAAATTTTCATATTTTGTAGTCTCACCTTGCAATATTCATTTAAAGGTATAGGTCGAAATTCAGTCTTGTATAGTTCTGCATTTAACCATTTGGCTAACAAAGGTAAATTCGGCAATGTGGCCGACATACCTATCAGTTGTATATTGACGTCATTATTGCTAAAACATTAAATTATGAAACACTTTCTATTGTATTACAAATTGCAATTCAATTACATTAGCAAACTTACTGAATAGTCATGTATTTCAATTTTGTTAGAAGCAACTCTAAGAGGTAGCCACGATTAGGATCACCGAGTAGATGTAATTCATCTATTATCACAGCTCCTAAGCTACTCAAATCATTCTCTTCCATTAAACGATTCACCAAAGAATTCGCCTTCTCTATAGTAGCTACTGCAATGTTAGTAGTGGCAAATCCTCCAGGTGGAACATTCCCTCCCATAAATCCATGCACTTTTATTCCAATATCAGATAGTAAATCCTGAATATCAAATTTATAGCTTATTAAAAAAATGTCATTATTTTAATAATACTTATAAAGTACATGTTGTAAGAAGTGTATACAACAATTCATACACAGTATATCTTACCTGAAAATAATACATCTTTTCTCTAACAACAGAAACAAATGGCAGGATAAAAATCACTTTCTTTTTTCTTTCTAGAACAGTCTTAATTAATAGCATTTCAGCAACAAAGGTTTTTCCTGCAGAGGTGGGTGCAGAATACACAAGATTTTTTCTTTCTTGCATTACTAGATGATTCGATAAACATTCCATTTGCCATGCGAACATTTGTTCTACTCCACGAGCAATATATTTCTAAAAAATAATAATTACTCCTTAAAATCATCTGAATCAATTCTATATCATATATAGAAAGACACTTTTTTGTGTATGTTGCTTATATTACATAAAAAGACTATTAAAAGTAAATTTTATAAATATAATAAATATAAAGAATAAGAGTCAAAGCTAATATGAAAAATTTTCAAATAATGAACTACATTTTAATTGTATATACTGATTTAAATTTTATAATAAATAACGCACGCATTACATGTTTTGACTGTATGGTTTAGCCTTCTTCGGATGCTTGTACAATTTTGCAAGTAGCTCATTATTTGAAAATTTTTCATATTAGTTATTTGACTCTTATTAGTTCTTTATATAATTATTGGTTTTATGTTAAGAGTCCTTGTATTCAAATTAAATATAAAAAAATTACAAATAATGGTAATTACTTTATAACAAGAAACGTCAAAAGTTAAAAAGTCATGACAGTTAAAATTACAAAAATATAAATAACAAATCTTAATTTGTCATATAGTTTTTAATGCTATTTTTTTTTATTTTGATAGCTACTTCAATATATGTAATTTAAAATTAATAAACAGTTACATCAATAATACATTATAAGGATATGATTTCTAAAATTTAAGAAAAGACAAAATAAATAAAGAATATACATCTTCTAGTTTTTATGTATGTATAAACATTTGTTAAACTTATTATAATGTAATACTTGTAGAATATTTGGCGGCAAACCCCACAATGTCAATTTACAACGATCCTGAGTGCCAATAGGTGGAGACAAAATAACAAATTCTGAATTTTCTTCATCATATGCAGAATTAACAGCTGATAACGATCTGATGACATCATTACTATTTGTTGCATTTTGTGTATTATTAGGAGACTTATTTTTATAAAAACTCCGAGTATTAAATTTGTCGCATTTCTTTGTACTGTTAGTTATGTCAAGGTGATGTTTCTCCTTCAAATTGGTATCAACATTCTCATTGTTTGTTCCATAAGGGTTCCGTTTATTTTGGGATAGCAAGAAGCTGTTTTCTTTCGGAGCACTAAAGGCCGGCGATAAATTTTTTTTGCTGTTGGCTTTGGAAAATAAAATTTTATCATTCTCGAAATACCTTATCAGCGTCTTCTTTCCTTCTATTCTTTTTGTACCAGAATCAAACGACTTTGGTTTATCAACATTATTTTGTATATTCGTGAATTCCGACAGCAACGAACTTGATTTGAAATATTTACCAAGATCACTAACATTTTCTTCCTGCAATTTTTGGATTTTACCTTCAGTTTGCTTTTGAACAGTTTGATGCCTTTTTTCGATATCTATGCAAGCAAGTAAAGTATCATCGCCGAAAGACTGCATCGTTCTTTCACTCTGCAAGTCCTTCGACGAATTCAGGCGGATTGAACTGAGATTTAAATTATTTTGAGAACAGTATCGCCAAGTGAATGTTACCATTAATCCAGTCAGTCCAACATTGGGTGCATTCAGTACTCACAGATGTCTATATTAAAGCGGGGAGCACAGACTTTTGCATAAAGGTTGGATTATACTGGCCGTAATCTGTTAACTTATGCCGTAATCTGTAAAAATTGACCAATTATAATCGATTATTCCCCTCTCATTCGACTGTGATTGGTCAATTTTTACAAATTACGGCATAAGTTAACAGATTACGGCCAGTATAAATCAACCTTAACGCATAAAGCATGTGCATAAGGAATTTCATTGGTCCATTTTCTTATGCATGAGTCAATGGACCAATCAAATTCTTTATGTATATGGTTTATGCGTTATGCAAAAGTCTGTGCTCCCCGCTTAACATCTGTGTCAGTACTACAACCGCTCACTGAGCGCTCAGTGAGCACCCTAGGATTGTGTATTAAGCCTTGTGTCCACGATGCTAGAAATCGGTCCGAGATCTCGGATGAAGAAAGAATTAACAAATCACATTTGAACAATTTGGTCACATGACCAATGTAATTGGTCAATTTTTCCTTCATCAGAGATTGCGGATCGATTTCTAGTATCGTGGACACAAGGCTTTAGGGGCCGTCACATACAGCCCGTAATCCGTAATCCGCACCGGATGTCCGCAAAAGTTGCTAGACATTGCGTCCGTAACGTTACGTGTATTTTATCTCCTTATGTCCCATGGAGCCGTAATTCCGTAAAAGTTACCAGTTTTTACTAGTAATGCTTTTTCTAATTTTATCTATTTGACTAAATTTGACGGTTTAAGTAAAGTTTTTGTTATAATCAAGATATATTCTGCAGTTTTCTTATGAAATAAGTTAAAAATAATCAATATAACTTGTTAAATAAAAAAATAATGTAAAGTTTCTTTATAAGAAACAATCTGGTGGTGCTGGCCAATATGCTCGCATAACTGGAATTATAGAGGTATCATAGATTTTTATCATTAATATTTATTGATATTATTCATCGAGAGCCCTTAACCTTATCAAACTCAATTCTTTGTTTGATTCCAAAAAAATTTCATACCTAATCTATTCATTAGAGATATCATTTGTCGACTCGCACAATTTTCTCGTAAGATAAACAATTTCTGATTATTTCTGCGAGGTACATTGAGGTTATAGAAGACAACTCTTCCGCCATGACACTGTACAGGTCAATGCAGGTATTGAGTCTCAAATCGAACTTGTGATCGAAGTCAACCCGACCCGGAGTCGGGTCGAGTCGGTTAATCGAAAACGCTATTACTCTGTATCTAACTTTTTTTTTGTTTTTTTTACTTTGAACTTTCTTTCCTTTGTGATATTCAATAATTCAGTTGGAACCGCGTCTTTCTTCACTCGTCGCATTAATCTTAACTTATTGTTAGCACGTTGTTCTGTCCATCTTTCTTCAATGCACTCTGGACGAAAATGCCGCTCACATATTGAGTCTGAAAATAACATTTTAATAATGGACATATTATAATGGGCATATTAAATACAAAATATACTCACATCGGGAGGAGAGTTCCGATTCGTTTGTTCGTCCACAAGCTTTGAGCCATTGTTTCCTCAATTGAGGATCGTGAGGAAAATAATACATTTTCATTTTATTAAGTTTTCCCGTTCGCATTTTGCAATTGGGAACGCAACACGTAGGCATATTGTATAATATATTCAATAACTAAACTAGTCGAGTCGCGACGTACGATACGACCATGAAGGAAGATATAAGGAGACTCCACTCGGTCTCGCCAGTCTACAAGACATGAACCCATTTTAGGTTTCGAGTTCCGTTTCCGATTCTCGACACTCGCAGCGCTCGTGAATTTAGTAGTGCTGCGCATAATGAGTGCGAGTAAGAGCCCCAACACACACTTTTGCATAAAGCATAAAGCATGTGCATAAGGAATTTTATTGGCCCATTTTCTTATGCATGAGTCAATGGACCAATCAAATTCTTTATGTATATGGTTTATGCGTTATGCAAAAGTCTGTGCTCCCCGCTTAAGAGAAATGATCATTTCTCTTACTCGCACTCATCAGAATCGGAAGCTGAACTCGAAACCTAAAATGGGTCCACTTTTATTTTACGGAGTGGAGTCTCCTTATATCTTACTTCCTGGATACGACACAGCTGACTATCGGCCATATTGAATTTCTGCAAATGAGCTCTTAATTTGATTGGCTGCCATTGCGCATCTCCCGGAATGGGTCACCTTTCTATTTCCACCATGGGTGCGACGAGGTAGTACATGCCTAAGTCTGATTGGTTGTTATTGTACGCATGCGCAAGTGTGATATATGTGCACCTACGGTAATTAATTCTGTGTTACGGCCCGGCGGCCCTCTACTGCGTTACAAAATTCCCTAGATGATTTCACACGCGGGAACTATCTCTATGCTTTTGCATAACGCATAAACCATATACATAAAGAATTTGATTGGTCCATTAACTCATGCATAAGAAAATGGGCCAATGAAATTCCTTATGCACATGCTTTATGCATTATGCAAAAGTGTGTGTTGAGGCTCGTGATTTCCGTTCTGCTGAAATGTGTTTTCCTATGTCCCATGGAGCGGAATTTACGGATGCGCAATCAATGCGAGCCAATAACAAATGCTGTTCCAGTAGATCTAATGAAAGGGTGCGTTCCCATTCATTTCGTTTCAGTGCAGTAGAAAAGGAAGAAAGATGAACTAGTGCAAATGTTCAGCAATAAAGAACAGACCTATTTAGTAACGATTCTAGTTTCATCGAACCAAAAAAACTATCGTCTAGGGAATAATCAAATTGGAAAAACATCGTGTCAATAATCGATATTTTCCAGGAAAATAATCGATGTTAAAATAATCGAATACAAATCGCCCATCCCTACTCCCTAGTTGCTATCATCTTCCCTAAAAGATGTATGTGTAATCATGTAATGAGGTTGTTACAGGCGTTTTCAGGTGATTCTGACTATCGTATTCATAGCCATACGTTCGAGGAAAACGTAGCTGTATGACATTAATTGTAAGATCGTATAGATCTTGATTTTACAATTGAATTTTAAAAATGAGGATCGCTGTGGAGGGCTGCGCTCATGGCGAACTGGACATTATTTATGAGACTATACAGGAAATCGAAAAAATCGATGGAAGAATGATAGATCTGCTTATTTGCTGCGGCGATTTTCAAGCGACCAGAAATTTGAGTGATTTAAAATGCATGGCAGTATCAGATAAGTACAAGGATATGTGTACATTTTACAAGTGAGTATTGTTTAAACAAGAAGAGTTGTTCGAGCAAAATGTTCAATCTATAGTTCTTATGCTATTCATAACAGTACTTAATAACAGTATTTAAAAAGCAATTAATTGGCAGTATGTTAGCAATCTGTAGAGCAAAATATTGCAGCAGAGTAATTAATTGCATCTGTATTCGTTAATATTACATATTTTTTAAATATATTAGATATAAGACAGAGAGGTTCTCTTGAGAGCTTGAGAAATTAAATACATTTATACCAAAGTTACTACGGGTAGCTCAAAATGAAGTCAAAACATTTTATTGAAAATAAAACTAAAATAAAGCATCACTAGGATTTGGTTTTGATCTAATTACCGTGCTTGACTCTTATTACCATTGTACTTCTCCTTATTTGTAATTTTTATTATTAAAGAGTTTTATTTGTTTACATTTTGTTTAGTATTAATTTCATATTAAATAGAACATATTAAATGTTTAAAATGTTTTAAATAATAAAATGGCAAATTATATGCTTTGTTTCTACAATTATTCTGCTATTATATTCTATTACTTTTATTAGCATTCTGTTGATAAAGTTTGTAACAGATACTCTTTGCAAAATTTATTTTTAACAGACTTTTTACTTGATTATTTGGATAAGCTACTTATATGTTTAATGATATTTAATAAGAGAAGTAGTACATTTTTAATTCTGATATTATAGATATTATTCTGGTGAAAAAGAAGCTCCTATATTAACCATATTTATTGGAGGCAATCACGAAGCATCAAATTATCTGCAGGAATTGCCATATGGAGGATGGGTTGCACCTAATATTTATTATCTTGGATACGCAGGTGTAATACAGGTAGCTGGAATCAGAATTGCTGGGCTTTCAGGTATATACAAGAGTCGACATTGGATGCAGGGACATTATGAGAAGCCTCCCTATACTGATAGTACTATACGAAGTGTCTATCATATCAGGAATCTAGAAGTGTTTAGATTAAAACAGGTAGATATATATATATATATATATAATAATATATCAGCTGTCATACATGTTGATTAATGAAATCATGTATTTCTATACTTTTCCAGCTAATCATACAATTTTAGATAAAATCATGAATGTTCTTTTTAGATAGTTGGAAAAATACATAGGTTTTTTATTTTCAGCTTTCTGGTAAAATTGATATTTTTTTATTACATGATTGGCCAGCAGGAATAACAAAATATGGAGATGAAGATACATTGCTGAAACAAAAACCATTTTTTAAGTAAGTTCTCAATGACAAGGTCAAATGTTAATACAAAATTCTATTGAAATTTGATAGACATATTTCAACAGTTAAGATTCAATATTAAATTACTACAATTTCATGTTTTAGGGAAGATATAGAGAATAATGCACTTGGCAGTCCTCCATGTATGGAACTGTTAGAACGTCTTTATCCGTCCTACTGGTTCTCCGCGCATTTACATTGCAAATTTGCAGCACTCGTTCCTGAGAAAGGAGGAGCACGAGTGACGAAGTTTTTAGCGCTGGACAAATGTCTGCCGAAACGAAAATTTCTTCAGATACTGGAGGTGCGTTCACAGGAAGACGGTCCAATACAATTGAATTACGATCTGGAATGGTTAACGATACTTTATTTGACGAATCATCTACTGAGCGTCAAGAGTAGTATTCATTATATGCCTGGTCAGTATGGCATTGGCAGATGGAGCTACACACCCACGGCAAAGGAGAAACAAACTGTCTATGAGAAATTTGCCTCCAATTTGCGAATTCCTCTCAACTTTACTCGAACTGTCAAACCGTATGATCCGTGCAACATAAATACTCAGACCGAATGGCCGCGACTGCTGATCAATGATCAGACTACTCGATTCTGCGAGATGCTGGGTATCGATGATCCTTCTGCTCTACTACAGATTATCGCAAACACTGCAATGGATAACAGTAGATCGAGCGAATTGTCGATGGAAACATCCGGCGAATACACGTCAGAATCCATGGATATCTCATTCGACGAGGAAAGTGTATTCAGTTCCACCTTTGAGGAGAACAATTCAACAAACAAGTATTTCGTCGACAACTCACCGACAAACTTTTCCCCTAAGAGTGATGGCGATGATTCAGATAACAGGGATACAAGTAAAAGTACCTTGGATGAAACTGTTAATAACTCAACCACAGAAATTGTAGATTTCACTTCAATGGACGACAGTAAGTAACGTTTTATTACAAAATAACTTGTGATTAACTTTATTAATGAAATGATATGTAGAATATAGAGAATTCTTAATGAGAAGTTTTGAAATTATTAGATTGTTACCATGTATTGCAGGTAATGAAAAAACTTGTGTCCAAACCGAGCCGAACTGCAAAAAGTTTAAACGCCGAAATTATTCTGTATACTCTAGCACGTTTTAACTGTGATAGTGTCTTTCTTATTAGGTATTTGCGTCTGTACTCACTTGTTTCCATGTGGAATCTTTCTGTATTATATCTGATTTGTAAATAACAAGAATTTTTTATAATCAATTACATATATCTTAAAAGCTTCCAAAATAATTTGTTAATTGATCATCCTTGCCAGTGTTTATTGATCATAAATAGAGAGTACTTTTCCTTTCCTACAAATTTATTAAATTTATCAGTTTATCATGTTTCAAAATTTTCGTTCCTAATTTCTGAGATAAATATTTGACAATTACATAATTGGTTTCATAAATAAATAAATTTCTCACTTTTTATGTAATTGGTTTCTTAATACTGCTTTTTTTTCGTAATTTTAAGTCTACATGTATCAATGTACAAATCTTCATCTTTGTTCAGTTCTTTTATTATATTCTTCATTTAACAATAATAAAATATTTTCAATAAAAAATATACTGTGTAAACAATATACAATATAATATCTTGTATAAAACGCATCATAAGATAAAATCTTATGTCTTGTAAATAAAACTGAACACACCTCGAAAAGAAAGATTAGACTTGTTATTTTTAACTGAATTTATTGTTTGATTCATTTTTCCTGCTTCTTTCTCCTTATTGAAGAAAAACAAGAAAAGATAAACCGTTCAGTTAGAAGAACAGATCTAATATAGAAGTAAATTTGAAAATAATCGATCTTCGAACGAGACGAGGAATCGAATTCTCGACTTTGTTTAATCGATCGAAGGTCGTCCCGCGAACCCATCATGAGTTACCCATGCTCCGTGCTGGATCTCTTTGTTGACTTGTTTACTCTTGAATGATCTGAGTCTTCTGACAACCTGACACACGTATAAAATTGTCAGTAATTGTCAATAACAAACTGGCATCTGTGCATCTGGATGATGATTCCAGAATCCTCGGGAGAATCATGTTGCATGGACGAATTGACAGTAAACGACGCGTAAATATGGTGGCAAATAGCCTGTGCTCCGAATAACGTACCAACTCTCTGTCATCTCACTTTTGATTGTTAAGTATCCTGAACGCGAAAAATGGACAAGTTGACTGTTATCTCGGTGGTACTCTTCTTTGTTGCGGATATCTCCGCCATAATCAGCATCTCCATGCCGGACTGGATCATTACTGATGTCGGCGGTAATTGCAGAAAAGCAAACTTTTTTTTCATTGTTTTCATTCATTGTGGCCTTGCACGTCATTTTTTTTACGACGAGATGAAGATTAAAGGCACTCTGAATCAATTTGAAGTTGCAAATTGTGAAAAAACTCTACACGACGTTTGAGGACAATTTTAATTCTATTTTTTTCCCTCTTCTCTAATAGGCGACACAAGATTAGGTCTGATGTGGTCATGTATGACTTTGTACAACAGACCGCAGGTCTGCTTTAAATCAGAACTGGAATTGGAATGGTTGTTGGCATTAGTCTGCATATTTATTGGTTGTATTCTGATCACAGCAACTGTAATATTACTCATGCTGTCGCATTGGGATCGTACTGTCATTCCATTTGCACGCTGGGTAGGATTCACTGCTAGTACGTATCAGAAAAATACGTAACGTAATAAAATGTATAAGACTAATACATGTATGGAGTAATTATAGTATTTATACAAAGTCATAAAATAATTGAATTATAAAAACATCACTCTATATAATATAGTTGATGTTATATTTGAGAATCTCAAATAATAAATTATTATTGCAAAATTTATGCATGGTTATGATTGCATATTATGTTGTATAATTTACTAAATGACATTAAATTGCAGTGATACTGTTTTGTCACGCAGCAGTTATATTTCCAATGGGATTTTACATTGACGAGATTGGCGGGCAACCCTATCAGTTGCCTAATTCACATCAAGTTGGGATTGCTTACATTTTATTTGTTCTGGCTCTATGGATTACAGTAATCTCCGAACTTTTTGCAGGCAAAGTTTGTCTACCACATTTTTAGCAGTTTAGCATAACAAACAGATCTGCTAATTTATTTCTACTGATGTTTATAATATTTAGTCTCGTGTATAAATATTGGTGATATATAAAATCGTTTTTATCTTACAATTTTATAAAGCTTTAACAGAGGTTGTATTACATTCTGCTATATATTAAGTAGATTAAAATACTATAAGGAATAATTATAGGAATTAGTTTTTAATATTTAATAAGTCTTATAAAATGAGACAGTTGTACAGACAAAAGAATTCTTTAAATTATTATAATATATACTAATGTCCTTAAAGGATATATGAATAGGAGCAATATGTTGAAATTGCGTTGATATTATAGAATTTTTTCTAGCGATGTATAATAATAACATGTTAGTAAAATCATAACAGTTTTCAAATAAATACTTGAGGGAAAACTGAAATGAAACGCAATACATATTTGAAATATATGTATATATGTATATATATTTCTTGACCATAATTAAATTTTAACATATGTACAGTTTTACCTTTTGTTATAAACTTCAAATATTTACAAAACCGGAAATAAATGAGAGGTAATGTTTAATGTGTAAGTTCTAATTAGATTTAAAACTTAAAACATATCTTACTTCTTATATTATTCTATATTATACAAACATACAAGCTAAATATAATAAATGTATGTGTATATTTATATACATATATATATATAAATTTTATATATATATAATATATATGTATGTATATATAACTAAAACTTATATAATTCTGATTTGTCGGAGTTATTTAATAATAAAACATATGTTGCAAATAAATGGCATTTTATATGCGTACAGGGTAAACAGTTAATCAGAGATTACGAGATAACAAAATACAATACAATTACGCAATTAATAAACAAACTTGGTTGAACATTTGAGTTTTAAGAGTTATTATGAAACGGTATTATATATTCAGAAGATTAAATATAAAATGTTCAATAATTGTACATACAATCGTCCTGATAAGTCTTTTACAGTTCTTGATCTTGCCAGTCTTTTCAATTATTAAAATAATTTAAATATATTTGATGAAAAAGAAATCCATGTAAAGATTTTGTCAAATAGAATGCGTGCGTATGATTTGTTCTACATGATTCGGAAATATATATATATATAATTAATGTATATATATGTATACATATTTATATTAACATATGTATATACAGGGTGTCCAGGAAAGACACGATTGACGTTTAAGGGGAGATTCTTGAGATCATTTTGAGACGAAAATTCTAATACCAAAATGTTGAGGCTATAATAACTTTTGAATTATAAGCGTTTAAAATTAACGAATCATATCGTCTAAAGTAGGCGCGCTCAGGAGTGGCATAACGCAAAATATTAAACGCGAAAACTTATCACTTCTTTTATCAATATTGATTTTAAGGGATTACATATATGAATATCAGATTTTATTCTATTGATATTTCTATAAATGCAATATTCAAATATACTTTAAACATTTTATTAAAATAATAAAAGAGAAACTAGGAACTTGTATGAATATTATAAAATCATTAATTATGAATAATTATAATTATTTGTACAACTTTATAATTAATTAACGTTGTGATAATTAATTTATAAAATAAATTATGTATATTACAATAAATGTTCAAACTATATTCCATTCGCATCTATACATAATCTTGCGCGTTTCAATAAATTTTGTTGCGCATTGAAATTACGCGTAAAGAAAGTTGTGAGCAGATATGCAAAACAACTTCCGAAAAGTCAGCTTTCGCGTTTAGTACTTTGCGTTGTGCCGCTTCTGAGCGCGCCAACTTTAGACGATATGATTCGTTAATTTTAAACGATCATATATAATTCAAAAGATATTATAGCCTTAACATTTTGGTATTAGAATTTTCATCTCAAAATGATCTCAAGAATCTCCCCTTAAACATCAATCGTCTCTTTCCTGGACACCCTGTATATATATATATATATATATATAATTGGAATTGATTTCCATTGTACAGGAGGATTATATAAAAAAATAAACTACAGATAATATCTATTTCTATACTTTATACACACATTGTCACAAACTTCAAAATCTTTTTCACACTTTTGTTTGTCTTAAAGAAATTGGAAAACCAGTAACATTTACAGTAATCTTAGAAAGAAAAATTATATATACACACACAAGACGCTCTAATATCTCATAATTCTGTAACGTATAAAGCATTTGATATATAACGTTTTTTTAGATTCACCAGAAAACGTGAACCTAGATTGGAACACTTGACGAGCCTTAACATTACCTACGTTTATTTCATGATTTTTGAGGGGAGGGAACTATGTATACAACGTGTAATAACAATCTTAATAGAAGTATTTCATGGAAGTACAGCGGGTTTAATATATTTCTACTTTTCACATTATTGTAGATAATATAAAAGCTCTCTTTATTTATATAGATTTCTATTTACTTATAAATATCAACAAGAACTTCGAAATTGTAAAAAGAATTTTTTTTCGTTCCATCTCAAATGGAACATAGTTTGTTTCTGTGTATATATATATATATATATATATATGTGTAAGTTTTCTATACAAAATTTTTCAATGTGCTTTTGCATTACTTGATTGGTTATTACCAATCGTGTCACACCTTCGGTAATAGAGTAAATAAGGTACCCTAGGTGATGTGGGCCTCAGTACGTTACTCTCTGTAATGCTTTTTACAGTGCTGTCATCATACCTGACCCAACATCCATATCCTACGTGGAAGGCGTCGGTGAAGTAATGTCCCTTAGTGGCTTCCTTCCCATCGTGATATGTCACCGCGAATAATTTGTATTGTTTTTGTTTGGGACCTAATTTTTTCGCGGTGTTTGGTGATAAAATTTCTACAAAAATAATTTCAACGTTACGTTTGCCTCATAGAAATTAGAGGACAAAATGGATTAAAACTATTCAGTATACTTACTACCATCAATTTTCAAATCGATGGGGAATTCCACGGTTTTTAATATTTTAGAGCAACCATTGGAATATTTATCGAACTTGTACACAAACCACTTTAGATGTAATATCAGGATAACGGGCAATTCCTCTAAAGTAAGTTGTTTCCAAGCTTCTATTTGTTGTCTCGTCTTACTGCAGGTCATTCCTTCTACCTGATCTTTACCGACGAGAATCTCAAGAGCATGTCTTACGGATTCGGCTTTCTGTAATACATTATATTGTATTAGTTACGAAAAATTTTGTATTACAAATTAATTCATTCAAAGGTCTTAGTACTAACTTGAACATCCAACTGCAGTGTGAAAAACGGTTGTACATTATCCGTTGGCTGTTCTCCTGCTCTGATCACCCTGGATCGTAATTGTCCACGAAAGATATCAGATATTGGTGTTCTTCCAAATTCTGTACATCGTGTGACAGCACCTTTATTTTTTGGTCCCATTACCTGTATTAAAATAGAAACAAATAATGTAAACAAATATATAAATAAATGTAATTCTAATTAAAAAGTAGAATGGAACGAATAATATTATATTCGATAAATTTTGACTGATATTGTAGTAAATATTGTAAATTTATATAATAAATATCAATAATTTTTTAAATGTGTTTTTCAAACATTTTACCTGCCACTCTTCCTCATCGTGATCGTTACTGATATTTTTTGCATTACCAATTGCATTTTGATCGGTATTGATCAATTTTATCAACTGAAATCGAATAAATATTTAATTTTTTTAAAAGTATTGGTTTGTAATAGTTTATATTTTTATAATAAATATAAAATGTATATATACGTACTGCTAACATTTCGTCATTGATTGCATTTATAAGACATGATAAGAATTCTTCTGCATCTTCCTGTCGTCCTTCTATAGAAAAAGCATAAGCAACCGACAGATATTGTAACATTTTATATATATATGCTGGTTCAAATGCAATGCCGCTATATATGTCCATGACAGTATCTTCTCCTCGTTTAACTCTATCTTTCCTAGGCATACGAGCGGCCTCTGTCAAGGGTGTAAATTCACGAACAAACTGGACCCTTTTAATAATATAAAACAATTTTAAATATGAACATAATTTTTATAAGATCTATAGAAAAATATATTACATATTTTATTAAGTATTTTTTAATATTATTGTAATTACTTACATGTTATCAATCACGGGCGTAGCAGAATTTTCGTTACGGATTATAGGAAGTGGCAAAGCCGTGAGAAGATTATAGAATGGTGGACAAGCGAGTAAAGCTTGTAAGATACTATTGATATAACAATAATTACTGCGATTTGTTAATCCCCTCGGTAATAAGCTCACTGTTTGCTTATCCATTTGATAACTCGACAAAAATTCTAGACATAAATAATATTTATTTAAGACATTTGTATCAATGTATGTACATTTGGATAAAAAAATTCATCATTTTAAAAAATTAAATTGCTTTTTGTACTTACCACCTATTCTGTATATATTAGGATCATTGTAACAATTCTTTGCTATGCCATTTTGTAGAGTTGGTGTGCTAGATGAATTATTTTGATTCTCTGGAGTACGAACAGGACTAGTTGATTCTTTCTGGACCGGTGTTTTTGGTGTTTTTGGTTCATTTTGACAAGTTATATGTTCTACAGGTTTGCATGATGTATGCGTCTCAGATTTATTGTCTTTCTTAAAAAGACTAGCAAAGGATCTGATGGTTGGAGCCGCAGGTGGCGTTTCAGATATAGATGATGATGAAGTATTTGGTGTGATTGAAGAGTCATTTGGCATGGTAGAGGAGTTGTTTGGCGTTTTAATAATAGTCTTATCTTGGGCATCTTTTAATGCAATATTTTCTTCAATCTGCGTTTCATTTTTTTCTGTCCCGATAGAGATAGATTTAGGCGAAGTTTTGATTGCATTTGTTGCGATACTGGGTATAGTTTCATTTTTAAACTTTTTGTCTGTCTCATTATTTTGGTTCTCTTTGACATCAACCTTAGTATTCATTACAGATGGCACATCAA